CAGTAACGCCTCCCTAACCCTATCCCTAGTAAATAAATAGGAAGCAGTCGAAGGCAAGCAAGCTTCGCCGCCGTCCGGATCGAATAATCCCCACCCCACCCAAAACCAAGGAAGGAAGGAGGTATGGTGGTTGCCTCTCCTTCAACGCCGCCTCCGGCCGCCGCCGCCGCTGATAGCCCGCACCCGACCTACACCAAGGTAAGCAAGATCCTTCTGTCCCCACCTCCTTCTCCATACACTTCCCCTTTTTCTTTTCCATCTCGCTTCCCACTCATGGATGGCTGAATCTAATCTCCAACGCAGATGATTACGGAAGCGCTCACCGAGCTAGGAGGCACCTCCAGTCGTGATGCCATCGCCGGATTCATCCTCGGTCGCTTCACCGACCTCCCTGCTGCCCACGACGCGCTCCTATCCGCCCACCTCCGCTGCCTCATCTCCGAGGGCGTCGTCTCCGAGGGCATCGTCCGCAGCTTTGCATCCACCTACATCTTGCCAGCCCTGGCCCAGCCCCGCAAGGACTCCCTCACCGTGTCGGCGACCAAGAATTCGTTGGATCTCGATTTGGATCCATCTAGAGGCTTACATGCGAGCAACAATGATGACAACTCCTCCAATGATGACGATGACGATGACTACACTTGTGATGAGGACGATGATGAATACACTCCTGCGCGTGCAACCTACATGCTGGGAAGGAAGCACGGCCGTGGACGAGTATCAAGCGTGGCCCTTCCTGTGTCCACACTTGATTCCTCGACGACAAAGAGAGGGCGTGGGAGGCCGAGAAAGGAACCAGAAGCAACGTCAAGGACCATCAAGCGTGGCCCTAGTCGCCCTCGCAAGGACGCATATCGATTCCACGCGTCGGCGTCAGCGACCAAGCCCAAGAAATTGTTGGATCTCAATTTGGACCCATCTGAGGGATTACGGATTAGAAGTGATGATGATGAGGATGTCTGTAGTGATGATGATGATGATGATGTTGACTACACCCCTATGCTAGGAGAAAAGCATGGTCATGGGCGCCCACGAAAGAGGGGGCGCGGCCGGCCTTGTAAGGTTGTGTTGTCTGCCAATGGAGGAGGTGCTTCCTGCCCATTGACCCAGAGAGGGCGTGGAAGACCAAGGAAGAGACAAAATGCTTGTTGGCCAGAAGCTTCTTTTCAGAATGGAGGTGACACAATGCCTATGCAAACCCCCACAAGTGATTTCTTGACGCCGAAGAGAGGGAGTGGGAGGCCAACAAAGGAGACATAATAACTCTAACTAGTATCCAGAGAGAGCGTGGGTGGCCGAGAAAGGATGAACAATCACAAGTAGAATCTTCTCCAACTGGGACCAAAAAAATCAGAAATTATAGGTTATAAAGGCCCAACTGAATAAGATCCCATTAGTTTGTGTTAGAGATATATTTGGATTACATGTATTTGGTAGTCTAGGATTTGTAATCCGTCTCCTATCTTATCTCCAGGAGGGACTTCTTTCCCTCTAAGTCTTGTACTCAATATATACTCGCCCTCGAGGCTCAATAATACATCCATTGATTCCACCAATCCCTCTCTATTCCCTTCTAACAGTTTGTATTCGCCTTTGAGCCTCAACATTTTGCAATTTACTTGACATTTGATTAAGCTTGGTGGTGAATCTTTTCCTTTTGAGTGTTCCCCTTGAGTCCTCCCGCCTTTATTCTTCATATACATAGTGTTTCACCTCGGATCCAGCTCCAATCATGAAGATCGGAGCACCCCTAGGGCTTCCCCCGTATCATTTTCTTTGCTGGGAATACGAGATGTCCATATTATATGACCATGCAGAATTTCACCTAGAAGACCCATATCTCATCATCACTCTTTAACCTCAAGAAGATTTGATGATCACATTCAGTGTAATATATCGAGCGAAAGTGGAAAAGGGCTTTGTTTTGTGCCAGGCAAACAAATCCTATGTCATATGATCATTTAGGGAGATTCTCAAAATTCTTTTATGGTAAAAAAACAAGAAAATACTAATAATTAAAGCTTCATCCCATTGTGCCAAAAATGGGTCAATGAGCTCATCCATTTTGTTTAAAAGAACATGCCCCTTCCTAGTTCGTATCTTCACGGTCGGACTATTTATGACCCAGTGAGCATCCCATATACCGATTCTTGTACCTAATCCAACTCTCCAAATATGGCCCATTTGAAATTTTGTAAACCAACAACTAATCTCTGCCAAGAATAAGATGAACCCTTCTTAGGTCTAGTTTTCAAGAGATCTCCATTTGGAAAATATTTTGCATGTCATGCCTTTGCACAAAAAGTTCCAGGTCAAGTAATAAATCTTTAGCTTTGTTTTGTCGGCATTGTTGGTAGGTTAAAAGCATGCAAATCCCTATCCTATAATCTCATCCTTTATTGGGATACCCATTTTCATGAGGCAAATCAATGCATCCATTTATGTTCATCTGTATCTTCCCACCAAATACCTGCCTTGGCTTCTATGATACATTTGCATACCTTCTTTCCTAACTTAAAATATACATGGAAAAGGCTGGGATGACTTGGATGATAGCCATCAACGAAATCTCCTTTGCCGCCGTAGATAACAATTTTCCTTCCATCCTCTTAGTCGATTAATAGCTCTTTCCAATAGATGGACAATGTTGTTACTTCTATCAATACCAACCATAGCTGGGAGACCAAGATATATGTCAAAGACTAGCTTCTGTCAGAATTATTAGTTTGAACATACTTGGGTTTTCACATCAACATTTCGCTTCACTCACTAATTGCCAACTATGAGTGAAGCAATCTCGACTCTCCATTTACTTTCTCTCTTTAAGAAAAGCTCTCAGTTTACTTATTTTTTGTGTGTGCTTGTACTCAAAAGGGATGGAATGACATGATTCTTGTCCTTATTCCAAAGGTTAATTCAAAATGCACAAAAGGTGAAGGTGTAGAAGATAATAAGCTTACGTAGTACTTTATGCAAGGTGTGCTAAAAAATTGGTAACTCATTGTCTCAAATATTTCCTTGATGGTGATGTGGTCTCCCATCCGTGAAGTGCTTCTATTCCTGGTAGCCTGGTTACATATGATATTCTATTTGCGTACAAGAGTTTACACACAACTAATAATAAAAAGAGAGGGAAGGCATGGTACTATGCAGTGAAACTTGACATGCATAAAGCATGCGATCATGTGGAATGATGCTTCTTTTAGATAGAGTGGAAATATATATATGGGGTTCACCAAAAATCTGTTGATCTCCGGCGGGTGACCTCTCACCACCATATTTATTTCATATATGTGTTGAGGGTTTATCAAGTGCTCTGACTCGTAGAGAGGAGGTCTGTGGCACTGAAGATATTCGGGGTGCGCAGAAATGCACCACCATTTTTCCATTAATCATTTGTCGATGTTTCCTAATACTTATGAAGGCACATATGAATTATGCAACCTCATTGAGATAGGTACTAGATCACGGCAATTAGTGAGTGAAGCAAAGTGCACATTTTCATTGTGAAGTCTATGTACGTGGATCTTATGGATCCTGGTCCTATTTTCCGCATAGTACATATTTGGAAAACAGAGTTTCCTTACAAGATCAAAAGTTCCATGTGGTTTTTGTAGAGGGATCTAGTTCTTACAAAGATAATGTTGCTAACCGTAACTTTCCATGGTAGAAAAAAAATGTGGTTTTTTGATTAGGAGGAGTGTTTCATCATTTATTTCGCCCATGTCCATTTACTGCCTTGACCTGGCGCACGATTCATGTTTAATGCAATTTAGCATCGTGAAGGATTATTCCCAATTTGTTTGGAAATTGGTTGGTGTTATTCATCATAAGTTGTAGGACGAAATCGGTGTGGGATTTTGTGCCATTTCTATGGGCAATATGGAATGTTGGAATGACTCCATTTTTAACAGATCATCTACTCATAATTTCTTGTAGGTTATCTACAAGGCTACGGCTTCAATCCGTATGTGTAATTACTGTAGCATGTGGACACACGGATGCTTATGGCCTCTTGGTGCACCCTGATGTGGATGGCAAGCGCAGAGTTTGTTTAACCACTTTGGCTGACGAGTCACTTTGGCCGATGAGTCACTCGTAGATTATGTAGATGAGCTACGTAATCTCGGGTCTGATCGATTGAGGTCGTGTTTTCTTTTTATTTGTATTAGTGTCCCGTATCGATGCCTTCAACTTGATTCACGTTTAATAATATATATTTTTAATCAGAGGCGAAAGATTTGCCTCGTCCATTAATTAAGGAGTTTAGAGTTGCTTTTATCAAAAGAAGAAATAAAATTACAAAGCATTTACTCTCGTGGCATGATGTTTCCCAAGTGCTTTGCAACGGCGGTATCATCCTAGTATTTCGCTCACACCAAGTGCTTTGCAACGGCGGTAGCACCCTCCTTTTTTATGTTGGAGAGAATGATGATTAGGGGCATGGATTTGTGCCGCAACACCCTAGTATTTCGCTCACACCAAATTGTCCAACAAGTAAGCATGGTGAGGGACGCCAACACCTTCCGGTTTGCCGTATTCTTCTCGAACATATTGATCCACCAACCCTTGATGGTACCCTCATCAATCCAACGAGAAGTGTCAATGCCGTCGAGGTTGAGCCAATCCTTGATCATGCCCCAAAGCCTCATGGTGAACCGACGCTTGAAAAAGTGGTGGTCCACCAATTCCACGATTTGCTTAAAGAGAAAAATTTACTACAGGTCCTATTACTTGTGCTGGTGCCAGCTTTAGTCCCTGTGGTTACAAATACCCGAAATACAGTCACCAAACTTGCTCTAGGGGCCATCTACGGTCCATTATACGGTTTTGTGTACGTATATGGTGAGCTGGCTCTAGTCAACCGATGCCAAGTGTGCATTGACTGCCACATGTGCCCAGCTCACTCGAATACGCATGCACGCAGTTTTTTTTTTTTTTTTGCAAAATTGCCAGTAATTAAAAGATCCCCAAACCCCGCCGCCGCCTCCGCCTCCGCCATGCGTCCGCTAGACGAGAAGGAGACCACGATGGTCTTCGACAAGCTCTTCAAGTTCACCGGCCCCAACCTGAAGCACCTCCTGGAGCGGAGGGCCCCGACCCGGAGCCCGGCCGCTACTGCTTCCGCCTCCACAAGAACCGCGTCTTCTACGCCTCCGAGTCGCTCGTCCGCCGCGGCACCGCCGTGTCCCGCACGCGCCTCGCCGGGGTCGGCACGCCCATCGGCAAGTTCACCCACGGCGGCGCCTTCCACCTCACCGTCCACGCGCTCGACCTCCTCGCCGCCCACGCGCGCCGCCGCATCTGGCTGAAGCCCGACATGGAGCGCCCGTTCCTCTTCGGCAATTCCGTGCCCACGTCCGCGCTCGCGCGCATCACCGAGAACACCAAATCCGGCGATGGCGTCGTCGTCATGTCCATGGCCGACGTGCCGCTTGGGTTTGGGGTCGCCGCCAGGGGCGCGCAGGACTGCAGAAAGGCCGACACCAACGCCGTGGTGGTGCTCCACCAGTCCGACGCCGGCGGGTACCTCCGCAAGTAGGAGGAGCTCATGTGAGGTGAGGGTCGAGGCTTGGTTGTTCTTGTGTTTACTGATTGGACCATATGCGTGAATTTAGGGACCCAATTTCTTACTACTATCTTGTTCGAGAGTTCCTGCATATGGCATATGAATGTACTGGATGATTAATTGAGTATGAGATGAGGCGATTGCAAATTTTCGGTGATAATTGGTCTTTTTCTCGCCCGTGAATGCACTAAGGCCCCGCTTGGATGGCCGTTTTTGAGCCCCAAACCAGCGTAAAATACGGATCCGAATTGTTTTCCCCTCCAGCTGGGAAAACGCGCTTGGTTGGTCGTTTAGGCGCAACCCAAAACGATCGTTTTTTCATTTACACCCGTAATACACTTGTAAGTAATTAGTGTCTCCGGGGCTCTGTATTTTTTCCGGCCGGATTTCTTTGGTGGCCGGTAAGATACAACTGTATCTTTAATACACGCGGAAAGCTAAAACGGCCATCCAAGCGGGACCTAAATGGGAATTTTTGGATCAATACTTACTGAATTGTGTGGAATGAGGTCCTGGTATGTCTGTAAATAAACCACAGAACCTGATTTGTACATAGATGAATTGGATTGAAGAAGTATGGTGCATCACTTAGGCTAATAGGACAACATAAATGGCCACTGTGATCTTCAATTTGGCGGTTTGATATGTGGTCTTATGCTTGTTGCGGTGATGTGTTGAGTTACCTCGACCATCAAATCAAGGAAATGAATGCCGATCATCTGTTCCCTCCCGTGGTTGTGATCACCGATCATCTGTGCTTGCAATCAGTGTGCAGTTCGTCGACCATTCTGTATTCTGCAGTTTTCATACAGGGCGAGGCAAAGCGGATGTCTGATCGTAGTAGAGTAGTTTTCTTTTCAGGTAGTTCTGGTGGCTATAAATTTTGTCACGCTGCAGCTTATCAGTAGGCTACTGCATTGTATCGTGTGAACTGTGAACTGAAAATTATGATGATGATACATTTCCTCTTGGAGACCTAATTGTTTTTACATTTGATCGACAAATCACTTAGGCCCCGCTTGGAATGCCTGTGAAATTTTACAAATGTAAACTATTACACCTGTATATTACTGTAGTCCAGTAAAATACAACCGGATATTTTCCGCTGGTTGCAACTGCGTTTCTGCTAACTCGGTACTTGGACCAGATCACAGAACCAAAGCACGCGCGTCATGAGCCGAACGCCATGAGCCTCGGACGAGCAACTGCTGTTACCAGCAAGTCGTGCCGGCGTTTTTTTTGTGTGTGGCCTGGTTTGGCCTGTAAATGTTACGGGTGTAATCCGGGTGTAATCAGGCAAATACCGTCCGGAAACCAGCCGAGGAGGGAAAGAAAAACGACAAACCAAGCACTCACGCCGGTGGAAAAAACAGCTCTGTATTTTACACCGGTGCTTGGAGGGAAAACGACGAACCAAGCGCGCCGTTACCAAGAAGCTAACCTGCTCATGAATTCCCCTGGTTTCATCACGCTTGAGCCGGGCGGTCACCGCCGTCTCGGACAGGCCGCGCCGCGATCGCACATGGGACGACGATGGCGGCAGCAACCGACGAGGACAGTATCGACGAGAGCTTCTTCGAAGACGCTCGGGACGAGGAGGATGAGCCACCCAAACCGGAGGAGCATCTTGGGGCTTGACGTGGCGCCGCCTCGCTGGAGTCGCCCGGGGGCAGCTCTGCGGGTCCGACGTGCTGCGCTGCAGCGGGCGGGGACCCCATCCGCGGCCAGGCGCACGAGACAGGCAACGTGGCGCTGCTCCGCCACATGCTGCTCATGGTCACCGCCTTCCTATCCATCGCGCTCCTCCGGCTCCGCGTTGACACCGTGCTCCTCGACCAGCAGCCTGACATCGCGGTGGTGGCGAGGCGGTACGTGGTGTGCCTTCTCCACCACCTCGCCGTCGTCTCCTTCCTCGGACCGCGGGGGTGCGCACGGCCAGCGCCGTCTCCATCCTCAGTGGCATCTTGGCCGGCGCCGTGGGCGGGCTGCTGATGTTGGCATCGCGGCAGTAGTGGCCTCGCCTCTACACCACGGCGCGGAGGTGCAGGGCGGCGTGGGGAAGGCGATGAACGTGATGGCGGCGCTGGAGCTGCACTTCCCTCGGCTCCCACATGCGGCGGCCGGCGGGACGGACGTGGGGTTGGGGGCGGCGCCGAGCACGCACTCGCACTGCACTGCGAGCGAGGAACAGGGGAGCGAGAGGGATCCGACGGGGGGATTGATTTATCTCTGGCAATTTTACAAAACAAACCCCAGTTCCACGCGTATTTGATTCGGTCCGACCAGGTGGTGATGACTTGGCAGTCAGCACACGCGTGGACACCCAGTCAGCCGCCAAATCAGCGAATACGTACACAAAACCGTACAATGGACTGTAGATGACCCCTAGAGCAAGTTTGGTGACTGTATTTCAGGTATTTGTAACCACAGGTACTAAAGCTGGCGCCAGCGCAAGTAATAGGACCTGTAGTGATTTTTCCTCTTGCTTAAATAGAGGACATAGCCTGCAATTTGGCCATCCACGCCTTTAAAATTTGTCTGCAGTTCAAATCTGGTTTTTAATTGCAAGCCAAGTAAAAAAAAACTTTAGGAGGCATCCAAACCTTTCAAACCGTGTAGTTCTGGAGTGCCGAGGAATTGAGCTTTATATGCTGAAGTGGGGGTCTAGTTCAAGTGATGTTATCATCGTCCACAAAATGAATTGCACGAGAACGAGCATAGTATCATGCAGAGGGCGGGTACTTCCCTTTTCAAAAAATAAATGAATAAACATCTAAGGAAAATCAACAAGGCAAATCCAAATAAAACATAGTCGCACACAATAAAAGGGTACAAATATAATCCGTTACAGTATCCAAATGATGAATTTAGCAGTCAGACTGACACTGTGGATGCAGTAATATATGCCCACTTACTGGAGCTGGTGCTCGAACAGAACAGTTTAATGTTAAAAAACGACTGGGTAACAGAATGGCCATGTCAGGTTGCTGGGTTGCCGGAGGTGCCACTGGCACCGGAGAGGAAGACCCGACGGAGATGGTTCTTGCCGGCGTAGTGCTCCTGGACGTTGAGCTCACCTGAGATGAGCACGTCGCACATCTCGCACCGCACGATTATCTCACCGGCGGTGCCACTGGCACCGGAGGCGAAGACCCGATGGAGGTGGTGCTTGCCGGCGTAGTGCTCCTGGACGTTGAGCTTGCCTGAGAGGACCACGTCGCACATCTCGCACCGCACGTTTACCTCACCGGCGGCGTTGGCCACATTGTTCCGGTGCTTCCTCCCGTCCTCGTGCTGCCTGAGGTTGAACGCCGTCATGCACGGCACGCCGCAGACGCGGCAAACGATGGAGGGCGTGTTGCCTGCCGCCGGGTTGGCTGGGGACCTTGGGTGAAGTGGCGGCTTGGAGCTGGTAGTCACCTGCGGAGGCGGCGTTCTGGCGGCCGCTGGCGTAGCGTGCGGCTGTGGCCTCTGCTTCTGGAGTGGGGGCACCTGCGCTGGCGGCGCCCGCGGTTGCTGTGCCTGCGCCGGCGCTGCTACGTACTGCATCTGCGGTTGCTGCTCCTGGTATTGCTGCCTCGGCGGTGCCAGCGGCGGCTGTCGAACGCCGGAGACAGCAGGAGGCGGCCAGGTTGCTTGCCTCTTTGTCCCTGCGCGATGCGCAGGCGCAGCTGGAGGAAGTGATGCTGGATTCTGTACCTGAAGAGGGAAAAGAAAACATGATCACTGGCATGCAACTGTACAACCGATGCAGGTAAATAACGAGACCATTCATAGGAATCTTGAGAGCACAGACCAAGTGTAGCAGGAAATTTACTGGAGTAATTCTTCTTCTGAAACTAAATTTACGTAGCACAGACCAAGTGTAGCAGAGAACTAGGCTGTAGCCTAGTGGCGGCAAGGGAGCGCAGTGGCTTCTCCAGCAACCAGGGTTCGAGCCACGTTGGGGATGAATTTCTGGCTTCTCCTATATCAATAAACCATGGGTGCTAGTGCCCATGAGTTTCTTTCTTTTTTTAAAAAATTTACGTAGCAAGAAATGTGATGTATACAAACAGGAGTTTATACATGTCAAGTGTAGTAGTTTTCTAACCACAAATTTTCCACCTACCTTGTGTTTTAATGACGAACTTATCATTAAACATCACTAGATTAAAGAGGAAATTAACAGGATCTCAACTAAAGCCATCAATGGAATAGATGCAGTAGAATTACGAACTGATGCTTTCTTTGAAATAAATGACAGAACTATCTTTCATACAGTTGCTGTTTCAATCAGAAATTAAGCACCGATGCCTAGAGGTAGTTCTATCATTTCCTCTGAACTATGTCTCCGAAATGTGCAGAAGTTTGCATTATTCAGAAACTTCTGTTCCACTATTTCAAGGAACAAGTATAGCATTGTTGGGAAAACTTTTTTTCTTCATACTGTTTGTGAACACTTAATTGGGACGAAAACATCATGCAAAGACTGGGCTAACATCCATATCAATTATCTCGCAAAAAAGCCATCCATATCAATTGTTTATTTTGGGGGTGAAAAGATTAGCCCAAAATTGTGTACTTCCGGAGCTCAACAAATGCATTTTCCTGACAAGTACTGTACCATCCTAGAACCAGAGTCATCTTTCTATTTGACAAAGCAACAAACTATTTCTATGTGCAGCAGAGAAACAAGTAAGCAAAAAAGAACTTCCGAACAATCACCAAGCTGGCCTTCCATACTGTGCAGAGAACACAACGATACAAGCTAAAATTGTCATGTGTAGCTTGATACAATGTGCCAGTTTCAAAACATGCTAAAGCACCTCTGAAACAAAAAAAAAATGATAAAGCAGAAGAGAAAGTGACGACGATTTGCGACTCACCGGTAGAGGAGCCTGGTGATCTGCGGCGCAGGAAGCGCGGTGAGCCCTGATCCGAAGCTTTTGGTGCTCGATAGCGTTCTCCAGGGTGATGTCCGCGGCCGTGTA